TCTTATGGTGGTGACATCTGACGGTGTTGACAAATTTGTCATTTCTTTCACAAAACCAATGGAGTGGTAGCCATTTTCTTTTTTTCTGTTGATGCTAGATGCTAAGCAGGTTCTATTAGCATCTAGCATCAACAGAAAAAAATATAAAATTATATTAAATAAATAATCAGGAGAATAAAATTATCAAAATATTTCAAATAATTTCCTTAGAAATTGGAAGATGGTGTTGACAAAAAGTGGGGACGCAACTTTAAAATCTCATTAAAAAACAACCTTGATTTGATAGGCGATATTATTAAGTGTTGCTTTTGATAAAACAAGCTCTTTTTCATCATTAAATTTTTTTTTTATCCATTTTATTGCATATAGGCGGAAAGCTACTAAACATATTTTGAAGAGGGGTTTGAAATGTTGTTGATTGTGGCACTCGCAGTTTAAATTACATTGGCGTTATTTATTCTTCCACATACCTCGCGGTCTACACTGAGGTCTTAAGTTCACATGTAGTAACTGTCCCCTCCCAGCTGGTGCATTTTACTCGATACTCAGGTTGTGTCTCAAAATCTATCGAGCTGCTACCTAGACAGCATTGTAGGCATCATAGACGCGTTTCTAGTCCTCATAGCTGCGGTAAAGCTCTGTTACCCACAGTGCTGCCTAGGTTTGCAGCTCAGGAGGTTTTAGGCGCAGCCAGCGTCTCAGTTCCGCAATGTGAAGCGGTATCTGTCTCAGAATGTCAGCAGGATGTGTCATTACTGGCGTTATGGATCTAAAAAGCGAGCTGCTGAAGTCCATCTGGTACGCGTTCACGTCTCTGGATGTAGAGCAGAGCGGAAAAGTGTCCAAGTCGCAACTGAAGGTCAGACCCACCTGTGCACCTTTGGTTATTTATTTTATATGTACAGTGTAATAATGTTTTCAACATTGGAGATAGTTAAATGTCATGTTTTTTTTATTATCAAGAGATTGATATTGTTGCAAAGAAAGGAACAAAAGTCCAAATAGTCATGCCATATCAAACCTTAACGCACACACATACACAAACTTTACACTCTTAAAAATAAAGGTGCTTCACGATGCCATAGAAGAACCTTTTTGTCTAAATGGTTCCATAAAGAACCTTTAACATCTGAAGAACCTTTCTGTTTCACAAAAGCTTCTTTGTGGCGAAAGAAGGTTCTTCAGATTAAAGAGATGGTTCTTTAAAGAACCTTTGACTGAATGGTTCTTTGTGGAACCAAAAATGGTTCTTCTATGGCATCGCTTGAAGAACCTTTTGAAGCACCTTTATTTTTAAGAGTGTACTTAGCTATCTAAATGGGGACATTCCATAGAGATATATTGTTTTTATACTGAACTAGTTATAAAATAGCACTTATATAAACCTGATCCTAACCAGCATTTTTATAATAACAATTAACAAAACTTTCTTTTTTATAATGTTTGGTCAGATTTAGCTTACTTTTGGTACTTATTTGTCACCTAAATATTGTTAGGTGGGTACGCATAAAACCTAATGCATTAATACATGATCTCAGATCATCTAAAATCTGATTTCTTTGTGCAATTTTCTTTTAAAGGATATTGAGCGGGCAATTGAATGGCATCACTGGTTGGTGAGCTTGAAAATAAATACCTAAAGACAGTCAGTCTGTGGACAGCTATGACAGTCTTTCTCATGTTTAAACATGTCCCGGGTCGGCCCTTTGCTCAAAATTTAGGCATAAACAGACATGCGTCCAGACTTGTTAGATCTTACACAAAGCATTTTTGCAATTGCCTGCAAATTTCTGTGTGTAAAACTATTATTGTATATTATATTAATGTCATTCTACTGATTCTATGTCATATAATATCAGCGCAGTGTCCCATGATCATGTCAATAAATTGGCTTTTAAATGCCATTCATTTTTCACAGACTAAATGAAAGCAGGTCGGGGCTTTTCAAAGAGTTAATTTCACTTTTCTGGGCCGTTTTGGCAATTACTTCTACCCAACTGATTTCTAGGTGATTTTTAGTGTATGTAGTACTGTATGAAGTCAGTTCCCTTCCAGTTCACACTGATATCCTAGCATAGTAACCACAAATTAATATTGAATTATGATTATTTTCTACAAACGTTTGACCAGAAAGTGTTTTTGACTTATTTTGAACAGTACATCTATTGTCGTATCATTTACAAACTTTTTTTTAAAAATAGGAATTTTATTTCATATTATACAATCTGCAAGTACAGTTATAATTGTAAGATTTAAAGTACACTACAAGTGCACATTCAGTATAAATAAGCACACTTCTTTTTCACAAGGGATTGCTCAACTTCATGTTGTTCCAAATCCAAATGACTTTCTTTCTGCTTCAAAACACAAACTGAGAAAGTTTAAAGAATGTATTAGTTGCTTTTTTTTCTAAGCAGTTACAATGAATTGAGCTTGTAGGCATCAAAACGGATGCAAACGTTCCCTTAAAACACAGTATATTACTTTTGCGTTGCACATAAAGCCATATAGGTTTGGAATGAAATTATACTAATTAAATAATGACCGAATTTGAATAGAACACTGGGAAATGTCTGTTGGCAAACAGTGTCAGGTGATGTTTGCTTGGCTGTTAATAGTATTGTGTTAATTTACAGGCCACAGAGGGGACGTTCAGCAAGGAAGCCTTTGATGATCTGTGCTGGACGATGACATCAAAGAAGAACTGCAAACCCAGCATTCAACAGGGCCTGTGTTCACAGAAAGACTGCTTCAAACTCTTCTGTCTGTTCAACCTGCTTTCTGAAGACCGTTACCCATTAGTCATCATTCAGCCGGAGGTGAGTGCGAGAGAAAGAGGGGCAGATGCAGATAAGCAGAGTTGCAACTGGTTGAGTCTCAAACTCAACTGGTTTGAGTCTATTCTTGTTTTTGTGAACAGAGCAGTTTTAGGATGCTAAAGTGAGAGTTGACACTTAAAGCAAGACTGTAAACTTAATAATCTCAATGTTGGTTATTCAGACAAAGTTGAAGTGGTCTGAAGCTTCACTATGGTGTTTTGTTTTAAGGAAGGAAGTGACACAAGAAATGGAACTACATATCTATATGGGGTGATTTCCTGATGATAACGCTAAAGTGAGAGTTGACACTTAAAGCAAGACTGTAAACTTAATAATCTCAATGTTGGTTATTCAGACAAAGTTGAAGTGGTCTGAAGCTTCACTATGGTGTTGCGTTTTGTTTTAAGGAAGGAAGTGACACAAGAAATGGAACTACATATCTATATGGGGTGATTTCCTGATGATAACGCATGTCAAAGCTAGATTTTTATCAAGTAACCAAATCTGAAGATGTTGTAACTTGCATTTCTTGCCATCTGTGTTCTCTCATCTCATCCCCATTTGGTTTTCTTTAGCATTTAACAAATGAAACTCCTTGAAAATACGTTTTTTGATCTCTTGGTGAATCTCATGACAAATAACATATTTGTCATATAAATGTCATATTTTAACAAATAAAATGTGTTTTTCCTTGAAGAAAATGAAACTTATGTTTACTAATAAATAAATAATTTTTTTTTATTTTAAATGTAAAATGTATTTTATTCCATTCAAATATATTTTATATATTACTCCCACACTATATCCCTATTTTATATTATTATTATTATTATTATTAGTGAGATTCATCCATACATGTATTTATAGTCTATACGTATATATAAGTATCTTATCTTATATATACATAGTTATCTGAGCATATATATAGTTAAGATACTTATACTTATAAGTATCTTAATATCGACTTTAGATTTCAAACATCTTACCAATGCACTTGCTCTAACAGCTCATAAGTTGCAGATGCTAATGTGCCAACCCAAAGTCATGAATGCTCTTTTGCCTCTGTTAATTTAGTTAGAGTACCTGCTGAAGAAAGTCTCCAGTGCAGTGAGCCTGGAGTGGGATGGGACGTTACTGGATGAACTTTTGTCCCAGAATGCTGCTCTTCAGGACGGCATGTCAGTGTGGGAGTTCCTGGAACATTTGAGTGCTGGCCAGCTTTTGCATGTTGAGAGTAAGGAGGCCTTCAGTCTCGCTGTGGACGATGTTTTCATGGAGATGTACCACAACATTATCAAGAAGGTGACTGATGCTTTGCGTGCAGCGCACTAGGTTGATGCTGTATTGTGTGTTAGCTCATGGGAATCCTAGTAAATACAAATCATTTGCAACTCAGCCGACACTACAATGTTACTTACACTTAACATCGGCCTAATGTTTGATTGATTTTTAGCAGAATGGTCCTTTCTGCATTGTGTTACACATGGCATTTCATTGATACAATAATTTACAAAATTTAGTTTTTTCTCTCTCAAGTCTTCTAGTCCCATTCTATCTGTTTCCTATTTGTTTTATCCATCAGGGCTACCTGTTAAAGAAGGGGCATGTTCGCAGGAACTGGCAGGAGCGCTGGTTTGTTTTGAAGCCCAGTAGCCTGATATACTATGTCAACGAGGACCTGAAGGAAAAGAAGGGAGAGGTCCTGCTGGAAGAGAGCAGTGTGGTGGAGGTTGATCAGCAATAACTCTATTCCACTGTAAAATAAATATCATAAATGCATTAGGCCTCCTAACTTTCTCATTTTCATCATCGCACTCAGAATCTCCCCGATAAAGAAGGGCGACGCTGCCTGTTCTGTGTGAATGCTCCCGTCAGGACCTACGAGATGAGTGCCTCAAACATGAAGCAGAGAGTAGACTGGGTACAAGGTAAGGGCCACACATGATAATAACTACTGTTGTAGTCAAGACCACCTAATCTGAGACCAAGACCAATGTGTGTTGAGACCTAGACAAGACCGAGAGCAAACCAGCACTGCTGAAATTCATCTGAAAGATCCACATTTACTGCTTGAGAAATGTCTTATTTTAAATCATTAAATACAGTTAGAATAATAAGACACTATATAGAGTTTTTACTAATCAAATTAAATCACTAACAACAAAATTCATCTTTGCACTGCAGTGGTGGCATAGGAGTTTTATCTGAATTGGTACAATTTCAAAAGCATAAATAATGTTGAGAATAATTAAATTACAACAAGCATTAAAATAAACTAAAACAAGTAAAACTTCAAGATATTTCTTAGTATTTTTGTTATTTTTTTTATAATGAATATATGTCTTTCTAGTCATGCTAAGCTCTAAAACATTTTGGGTGAGTGGAGGGGACCTTCAAATATTGTTGTGGACAATAGGAGGCCTTCAACAATCAACAATTTTGAGATCCACTGGTATAAATCAAATGATTTATTATTGTTATTTAGTCATTTAATTAGTTATTGATTGCATTTGAAACAGAAAGTTTTACATCCAGTCACATTAATGATGGTAATAAATAAATCAGTAAATGCACCGGTAATTTATTGATATCCCCACTGTTGTGGTCTTGACTGGTCTTGAAACAAAATCCCGAGTTCTCTTAGTCTGAGACCAAGACAAGACCGAGTACAAATGCGGTTAAGATCAAGACCTTTAAAAAATGATCTTAAGACTGGTTTCAAGACCAAGACCGGTCTTGAGTTCTAAAATGCTACTAATAACACTGTTACTTTCTTGTCAAAGTTGTCCTGGTTTTTTGAACGATGTTGTCCTCTTTTGTAGCCATTCAGACAGCATTGAGATTGAGGGCCGAGGGGAAGAGCTCTCTCCATCAGGAGCTGAAATTGAGCAGACGCAAGCAGAGAGAAACCCTTCAGAGAAGCCAGAACAACCAGAGCAGCCACAATGAACCCATTGCAGTTGAGGCGCCGCAGCACTTTGCTCCGGAGCAGCAGGGGGAGACGGAGTGCTTGGAGCAACACATTGAAAGCATCATTCAAGTAACTGATGGGGGAATAGGGCAAAAGGGGAATGTTCGAAATAGCATGCTATCATATTAATCTTACTATATCTGCAGTATACAGTATGTGTGCTGTGGACAGTATGCAAATTTTGATCTACCTACATTTCCTAAAATGTGCAGTATATAATATAGCAGTGGTTCTCAACCAGGGGCCTCAGCAAACTTCCAAGAGGGCTGAAGGTTGACTATTTAAATGAATACATTACCACCCTGTTTCATTAAAATGTGTTGACACACATGTTTTAACACATTCATGCACTTGCATTACTATGACAAATTCACTGACTGAAAACAGCACTTTGAATAAAGCAGTTGCATGACATTGTGATGCACTGTATTAAAGGAACATCGGATGGAATTTAAACTTTTTTAGCTTTTTTTTCCTTTTTGCTTTTAGTTAGGTTTCTGGCGTGCCAATTTGTTATGGGCTGTCTGAGTCTGAAACTGTGTCATCCAGTCAGCTGTTTCCATTTTTCAGCTGGTTTCTACGTAGATAGTTAGCTATTTGAAGAAGACCACAGTGTGTGAGATGTTGTATCCAACAATGCGATGCTTTTGACTTGACTTTCCATTTCCAGTTAGATGAAGGAACCTAAAGTAAAGGCATGATCTTAACATCGAGAATTAAGAGAGTTTTTATACAGAGCTCATATACAAAATAACCATATTCATAACTGAACAGCAGTCTCATAATAAACATGCCACATGACAATCATAAACCATGGCAATGCTAGTGTTTTAGGTGTCTGTGATTGCATATGGTGCTCTGTTTCACATACAGTTTTTAAAAAAAAATGCTTGGTAGTATATACTATACAGTAGTTTCATTTGGAACTTAGCTTGTGTTATTTTGTATTAAAAATTTTGAACATGTGTTTTTGTTTGGCCCCGCAGAAACAGAGGGAGGTGGAAGCAAAGCATAAAGAAGAAGAAAAGCAGGAGCAAGAGAAACAGCAGGCAATACAGAGAGATCTGGAGAGACAGCTTAAAGAAGCTAAAGAGGTGAGACAGAGAGAAAACAGTTTTTTTTTAACCATCCTGTTTCATTACTAAGTGTTGTCACACTACATCCACTTAAACACATTTTAACACATTCATGCACTTGCATTACTATGACAAATCTATTTACTTAAAACACCATTTTTGTACTTTGAATAAAGCAGTTATATAACATTATGATATACTAATTCTGATATAACTAATATAGTATATAACTAATATACTAATTCTGAATAACCTTTAAAACATTTGGAGTCAGTAGGATTTCTTTTATAGTTTTAAAAAAGTCTTTTTTTGAAAGAAGTCTCACAAAGGTTGCATTAATTGTATTACAAATGCAGTTAAAACCGCAATATTGTTAAATATGAATACAATTAAAAAAAAATATGTTAACACATTTAAAAATGTCATTTTTTCCAGTGATGGCAAAGCTGAATTTTCAGCATCATTACTCCAGTTTCTGGTGTCACATGATCCTTCAGAAATCATTCTAGTATGCTGATTTGGTGCTCAAGAATTATTTCTTATTATTATCAATGCTAAAAACAATATTTTTGTGGTAGCCATGATCATTTTTTTTCAGTGTTCTTTGATGAATAGAAAGTTCAAAAGAACATGATTTATTTAAAAAACACTAAATCTTTTGCAATATTATAAACGTTTTTACTATCACTGTTGATCCATTTCATGTGTCCTTGCTGCATAAAAGTATTATTTTTTTTAAAGGAAAGAAATCTTACTGGCCCCAAACATTTGAACGCTATAAATATCAGTCCTTAAGACAGGACATTGTAGTGTTAGAGCATTAGAAACAATTAAGTTAATTAAGTTGCTTATTTAGGCCAAAGAGAAGATGACAGCTACGTTGACTGAGATGGAGAAGGAGGTACAGCAGCATAAGAAAAGGATTCATGAATTAGAACTCACACAAGATAAACTGGAGGAGGCACTCAATGCTCAGATTCACGCCCGTTTAGAAGAAGACGGAATCCGACAGGAACTGGAGAGGTACTGCTAATCTCATATTATTTCAGTTTATTAACACCTTTGCCAACACACATGGACACTCTAATTTCTTTCATTTATACATGCAGGCAACTTGCGGAGGAGCAGAAGAAAGTTATAGAGCTTCTCCTCCATCAAAGTCAGCTGGAAACCTCTGCTGTGGGGAGTCAGGAGGATTCTTCCACCACAACACCTCCCATCAGTCAGCAAACAGAAGAGAGCACAGAGGTGAGAGACAAATGTGTGGAGTTGATGTGGAGAAATTAAGATAGTAAAGAGTCAGGATGTTCTTTGTAGGGTCGGTTAAATAAAAAAAAACATTTGGGTTTTTGTAGCATTTAATTTTATATTAAGCAAGGTTATTATAGCAAAACATTCAGAATTTACAATATTTTTACATGAGCCTTGTCATTGCCTCTCTGGCTCTTAGAATCAAAGCAGTAAATCAAAGGTCATTACTGTCAAAGAGCTGCCCTGAACTCGACAACCCTCTCTCAGGTTAAAAGAGATGCTTATCGTCAACACTGTCATAACAGACAGTTTGTTTCCCCCTCTGTTTCATTCATCTCTGCATTAACCACACACTACAAATCCCCACTTGCACTATCTGTGGGGACAGCCATTTGTAGTCGTGTCTTAAACCATAGTGGGCATTATCGAGTTTGCTCATTCACTCCCATAATACACTGTAATAGCAAGTGTACAACCAATAAACTCAAAGGCTAGCTGCTAAGAGAATACCCATGTATTGTAAGCACTGTCTCAGTTCGCTCAATCGTTTTAATTTTCTCCTTCAAGTGGACTATATTAGTAGAGTAATGTAGGGAATAGTGAATGAGGGAATAGGGGGTGATTTGGGATACATCTGTTGGGTTAGTATTGGTAACTCAATTGGTATCATTTCATTGAATGTGTCCATCAAGCCCTGTGTGATGTCCTGTTGTACTGATTTAAAAGAATATTCTATGACATTAGTGCCCTTGGTTGTGACTCTACCGCTCAAAATTTTAGGGTTGGCAAGATTTTTAAAATGTTTTTGAAAGTCTCTTATCCTCACCAAGACTGCATTATATTACCAAAAATAGAGTCCAGTAATATTTTTCATAATTAATATTGATGGTAATACAGTAAAATTCTATTTTAATATATTTTAAAATGTAGTTTATTCCTATGATGTCAAAGCTGAATCAGCAGCCATTACTCCGGTCTTCAGTGTCACATGATCCTTCAGAAATCATTCTAATATGCTGATTTGGTGCTCAAGAAACATTTATTATTATTATTATTTTAAAAAAACAGTTCAAGTATTTTGTAAAATTATGTTTTTGCCATTAATAATGATCAATTTAATGCATCCTTGCTGAATAAAGTTTATTTATTTATTTTTTTCCCTTACTGACCCTGAACTTTTTCGTAACACACTGTGTCGCATCGCAACAAGTTAGATAATTGAAAAGTGTAAATGAGATTTGGACCAAATTTTCACTTTTGGGTGAATTATTCCTTTAAACAGTTTTGTCTTTATGTAAATGCCTTTTTTAGAATTGACTAAAGTCTATGTGCCTGTGTAGCTCACACACAGTCATGAACTGTGATTTAATGCAAGCATCGCTTGGCTGGACCGGCCCTGTTCTAATTACAACTTGTTTAGTAGTACATTAACAAACACCTTATATTGTAAAAGGAGATACCTGTCCATGAATCGACTTCCACTGCAACACCACCCAACATCCAGCAATCAGAGGAGAGCAGCCAGCACAACACCGAAGTGAGAGACTAGAAAAGAGTGGGGCTAACAAAAAAAGACCATTTGTGCTACATAAATGACGCCTCAAATCATGCCCTATTACTTTAAATTAACTGATCAGACTTTTGATCCCATGCCATAATCTATGTATTTCTATACAGAGAGAATTGGTGAATCAGTCTACTACCACTCAGATGCTTAAGCACTGGAAAATTCAGCTTAACCGCCTCATGAAGCCTATCACACCAGGAGGTAAGATGCAATGTCAATCACTATTGTTTTATTGCCCGAGTAGTTTTTGACTGTCACGTGAATTTGAAATAAACAAGATATGTTCTGTTTGATCATAGCTGCACAATCATACATGGCTTTTATTATCATTGTTTTTTATTTGTCTGCTCATTTACAGACAAAGTCGAATATCTGCCAGTAAAGCCCACCTGCCCCAGACAGGGCCAGGCCCTCACCAGCACAGAGTTCATTGCTAAGGTTCAAACAGGCATCACCCAAGAAAAGGGAAATCGTTACAGCCCATCACCAACACAAGAAGAGGAAGAACAGGGTTCCTAAATCTGTATATCTACAGTATAATAGATTATACATGTTTTGTACAGCTGGTTTGCCCAGTGTGTTTAGGTTTGGCTGCAGGTCAAAGTCTTATTTTATTATTTATGTTCATAGTAATCAGCTTTTTTAATATGTAATTTGCACAAAATGGTAACACTTTACAATAAGGTTCCATTAGTCTATGTATTAACTAACATGAAAAAACAATGAACAATACATTTATTACAGTATTTATTAATCTTTGTTAATGTTAGTTAAAAAATACAGTCGTTCATTGTTTGTTCATGTTAATTCACAGTGCATTAACTGATGTTGCCAAGCACAACTTTTTATTTTAATAATGCATTAGTAAATGTTGAGATTAACATGAACTAAGATTAATAAATGTTGTAGAAGTATAGTTCATGCTTAGTTCATGTTAACTAAAGTAGTTAACTACTGTTAACTAATGAACCTTATTGTAAAGTGTTACCCACAAAATGAATAGTCAAAATAGATTCAGAAGGCGTTGAACTGTTTGATGGCAGCAGTTAAACAGATGCTTTAACTCTTTAAATCAGTGGTTCTCCATTTCAAGGTTCCCCATTGACAAAGTAAATATTTGAAGGCCCCTCAAGATATTTCTGGTGCTTCTGCTGTAATGAAAACTTTTGTGTTTACAGAAACTAGGAGTGGCAATATATTAAAGGGGTTATATGATGCTGCTAAAAAGAACATTATTTTGTGTATTTGGTGTAATGAAATGTGTTTATGCGGTTTAAGGTTAAAAAAACACATTATTTTCCACATACTGTACATTATTGTTTCTCCTCTATGCCCCCGCCTTTCTGAAACACGTTGATTTTTACAAAGCTCATCGTTCTGAAAAAGGGAGGTGTGCTCTGATTGGCCAGCTATCCAGTGCATTGTGATTGGCCGAATTCCTCAAGTGTGTTACGGAAATGTTACATCCCTTACCACATTGTGATGCCTGCGGCAACCACATTTGACGACCCGGGCTGGACTGCGCATTTGGGCGGCGTTATGCAAATCTTCCCAGATAGTGACGTAGGTATGTGGTGGCGTGTTAGAACGAGCCGTACTAGGTAGGCGTGGTTGACTCTTAACTTTTATAAAGAATATCTCTTTGGATTTGAGACTTCAGTCTTTGCATCTTTACAGATCTTCTTTATGCACCAAGAGCTTGTAACACTCCAAAGAGAAAGGAAAAATTGAAATCGCATCATATGACCCCTTTAATATTAATATTAACAATTAAAATTCCAGAAGACTAATCATTCAATAGCTGAATGTTCTTCAGCATTTACATTACAAATGAATTTTGTAGTAATTTGTGATTTTTTCCAGTTTCTCAGCAATTTACCCAAGAAAATATTTTAAACATGGCATAACCAAATTAAACCGAGAAATATGATGCCAGCTTCTATTTTGATCATTAGTTGTTTTAGCTTATTTTAATGCTTTTTTTTCTCAAATCACTTTAGTTCATCTTGAGGCTCTCTAAGAAGTTTGCCCTGGCCTCCAGGTTGAGAACCCACTGCTTTAGATAATACACTTAATTCACAACTAATTTTGTTTTTGTTACGGTGTGTAATTCTTTGTGTGGTCAGTAGAAGGGGTGCTTGGTCTGAGCTGCAGTTTCACATTAACCGAGACTAAAACCAACCGCACATATATCTACTTTTTTCATCACTTTCCCGCCCCCAGCCCTATAGATCAGGAGACAGGATTCCAAAAGTCATTTTGGGAATCCAATCAACATACTTTTTATTTTGCTAATCATGTTTTTAACTTGACTGACCAAGTCGAAACAATTAGGACACCCCCTTTTTGTGCTAAAAAGTGAAAGGAATCATGCAATCTATTTATAGATCCATGGAGGCCAGCAAGAAAGTACAGTTGAGTTTGTGGCTTTGAGGCTTCTTTTGAGAATGAATAATGGTTCTCTCTGTTAGTTTTGGGTGGTCTTCCAACAGACTGACTGTAAATGATCTTTGTAAAAAAAAAACCCCCGTTGTGGCCGTGATTTTTCCAGATACAGATCTTTTCCCCTTATGGTTTGGAAGGTTTCTACCTGTGGGTCTAGAGATTTGAGGTTTGACGAGACAAATTGTCAGGTCCAGAGATGAGGAAAGATAAAATGTGATACTTAAACCCCTGTTTCACTACTTCTGTAATATAAAATTGTATTTGTACAACCTTTTAATAATTTAATCTAGATATTATGTGTATTTCAATATTCTAGGCTCTAGTAAGCTCACTGAAAAGTAAATAGCCTTTAGCTGCAATTTAACAGAAGTTGCTACAGATATTTTCCCCTGTTGTGATGTATATCAGAGTGAAATTGATTCAGAGTGGCATGGTTCTATGTGTGTGGAGCGGCCAAATGTGGCATCTACCTATACATATCTATGGCTCCAGAAACATAGATACATCCACCGTCCTATAAAGGTCAACGTGTCAACACTCACAGTATTTTGGAGGTAAAAAAAAAGACAACCTTAAGCACAGATCACTCTCAATAAGATTAATAACATGCGTTTAGAATATACAAAGGGTGAAATTTCATTCACAAGCATCACTCACTATCATACTGTACATTCACTGATGATGGACATTTTGATGATTTTGTTGATACAGCAGATATTGGTGGTGGTTATTTAGAAATGGGCCAAAATGTCAAAAATGCTTCTCAAAGTAAATGGATCTGTTACAAATACTAGACGAACCTCCTGGCTGTCAGTCAAATATGGGCTACTTTCTTCGCTTTTTCTTTATTTTAGGTCAGAGGAGATAACAAATCATCCTTAGAAAATGAAGTATCGAAAATTAAGGAAAAACTGTTCTAGATTAAGTTCTCTCGAGGTTTATTGCGCAATTAGAAGTGGATTTCCTGTGATTGTTGCTTTTACATTAAACCCAACAGAGCTTCAATCGCGTTAAAGTGCTGTGTACTGTTACGTTATGTCCTGTTGCACACAATAGTGTCAGTGATATTTTCTATCCAACACTCTCAATATTGAAACTATTGTAGAACAAACCTCCTCCTGGAATGAAAATGTGGCATGATATATTATAATGTGTCTCCTGCAAGTCTTTAATTGTGAAAGCAATACTTCACTGCACCCAGCTGCTTCCCATGAGGAAGTGTTTTATGATAACCATATTAGAGCAACACACATCCCAACTTATATTTCTGCAAGCGTTTAGCTGCCGTGCAAAGTGATCATTGATTTAGCACATATTTATCTGCTCAAGGACACCAGATACATTTAGAGTGGTGGAGGGGAACGTTGTCGGCTGGCCCTGTAAGCCATTGAACACAGTAGATGCTTTCAGTTGGCTTCTGTCTCTCATGATCAACGACTGTTTTAGGGTCTGGTAGCAGCACTACCCCATTTATGTAGTAGCAGCGGGTCCACCCTTAACCCAAGGATATATGTCTGATACAAAACCACCTGTAATTATATTCTTCATGCAAGACCAACTTCCTTCAGTGCATTTCCCGGGCCAGAAAAAACACGAAATGAACCACAGAATGGAAAGCCAATGACCCAAAATACTCTGGCACTTCTGAGGATTCAAAGGGGAACTCGGGCCTTTTGTTGTTTCAGCTGGACCACTTGTCCCCACATCTTGCTTATGAAAAAACTGGAACGATTGATGTCGAAGTCCTTTGAACGTTTGATTCAGATGAATGGGTGTCAGATGGCCTGGCTTAAAATGGTCTGGATGATTTCATCCTTGAACGGGGACATCAAGAAAGTTACATCATGTAATAATGTTTAGGCATTGTCACAAACATTCGGTCTGTCCTCTCAAGATCAGATTCAATCAGAGTCCTTCTCAGAGTTTCTCAGTGGAACACGAGTGATGGCATAACATCAAAACTCCAAAAAATAGTAATGCGACTTTGGATTCCTTCTATAATGTCATGGTTACTGTTTGTTCTGTTCCTAAGCAGAGTGATTAATGTATTCACTGGAAGGTGATTTTCGCCTGTTCCACCTTATGGGTCTTGACCTCTTTGACTGTATGTAATAATTGAAATCTATTAAATGAATAGTAACAAAAATCTTTTTTATTAATCAATTTTAATTAACACGGTAATTGCAAAAAGTCAGATCTCTTTCATCTCAGATTTAAGAGGGTCTCTTCCACACAATTAAGAAGTTCATTTGTTTCTTTCAAATATAGTTTATAGACTTTAAATAATATAAACCAAAAATATAACCATTACCAGTATCAAATAAAATTAGAACCTTCACGTAAATTCGCGGGCTTTTATTTTGAAATCCATTCCAGCCGAGAGGCGGAAGTAAAGGGCTGTGTTTATGTGCGCGCGTGTGTTGATGGCAGCCTCCAGTGACAGCATGCAGAACATAAACAGCGCGCTCTGTCAAATAGCCACAGAAAAACTTACAAACACGCATCTCATAACTTTGCAAACTGTGACGACAGCTTTACGGGATGAGCAGTTCAGGTACTACACATTTTCCACTTTACAAAATGAACAGAAATGTGGGTGTTTTGTATGTCAGCAGAGTATGTGTTACATATTTCTACAGGTTAAAGAAAATATTTAGCGTTTTAATAATCACACATAACACCCTATTAGTCTATGTATACTGTGTACTTACACATGAACCAGTTATTGTTTATGAAGCAAATGGCAGGATGCATGGAACTTACTGCCATAAACATTCATCGAACTGAAAATAGACTGACACAGCTGGTTTCTGTTTTGTTTCAGAGCCAGTGTTGACAGAGAGGCTCTTGGAAACCTCTTTGCAGTGCTGTCAAGGCTTTTTGTGGATGTTCAGCATTTGGTTGAAAAGATGGGTTCACAGGAAGAAGCAGCATCTCTGTGCCTTAAACTCACCGCAGAGTGTTTCAGAGCGCACAGAAATGCATGCGTACAGTGCACTCAGAACCAGTGCTGTCTGAGGTAGTGTACAGTGTCCAAAAAGTCTGAGACCACTAATGCAAATGAATAAAGTTAGCATTTATTGTAACATTTTTCATTTCAAATGACTTCCTTGGCGTAAATATGTGATTAAAATGTTGAAAATGTAACAAAAATGTATTGTCTAAATA